TCCTGACTGTCCAAATATGGAAATCATCTATTCCGTAACGATTGCACAAACTACAAATATCATAACTCTATTCAATAGAACTGAATAAGAAATCTTTATCTTTTATTATTCGACAATAGGAATTTGACTGGCAACGTAGAGGAACCGTCCCCGTTTATTCAATCATACAGCACACGTAACAAAAGCTTTCATGGCTTTGATGAAACTAGTTTGCGGAAAGAGCTTTCTTAGCTAAGATGGCATCTCTCGCAGCCTGATACAGAGCAGTCAATTCTTCGCGATCAGGTAAAGTTCCCTTCACAACATCGGAGCTCAAGAACCTTTGAGACCATTTCAAGAGGTTAGAGTGATTCTCTTCATTGATTAGACTAACTCCAGTGACTTTCTGTACAACTCCGGTCCAAAAGGCAACATAATTTGCTGCAATGTCGACGAGCCCAATATCATCCCCTCCGAAGAATTTCTTCCCCTTGATCTCTCCCTCGAGAATCTTCAGGTTCTCCTTTGTCTCTTCCATGCCTCTTTTTTGCTCCTCGCCTTCAAGCCAGCATGCTTTCCTAAAATTTGGAATAATCTGAAAACGGAGAAAATGGCTTTTGTCATATAAATCATCGAGAAATAACTAAACATGATGCTGTTTATATTGAATTTACTATTTCTCTAGTTTTATTTTTTGCAGACTGATGTCGTGATTGAAAATTTTGTTAAAGATTTTCCAACTTCTCGTAGTCTATTAGTCAGGGAAAAAAAAAATTTCTGTTCCTTTGATGGTAAAAGAGTCTGAGAATTTTCACTCAGGAGGTCTATCTGTAAAAATAAATCCAGTGGGATGATAACTTCAAAACAACAACGCTAAAGGGAGTCCGTCGACAACTAGCCATAGTATCAGTTATTACCTTGTCACCGATGAACTTTGCCAATAAGCGCGCATAAGCCTTTTCTTGCGGGTCTTTAGGCAGTAAGGAGTATCCAGTACTCCAAGTATCCTCAATATAGTCAAGGATAAATAGCGATTCCGGGACTAGTTTGCCATTGTGAAGGAGAAGAGGGACATCCTTCTTGTAGAAGGGAATTAGGGGATTAGAATCAAGAACCAATGGGTTATTTTTCCAGGCATCTTGCTCAGTGTGATCATAAGCAACTCCCTTGAGTTTGAGAGCAAGCTCTACTTGGTGAGTGAAGGAGCATGCCCATGATCCTAAAACCTTCACTTCTTGATTATCCGCCATTTTAATTCGCTTGGAACTGTAAGCTGTCAATGTATTTATATAGCAGTTCATTAGTATGCTAATTTTTTGATTGTTACTGACACTAAGACTTTTAAAAAAAATTACCCATGTGATGTTCCAACAGTCGGATGGGATCCGTTAGCTTCGGAAGGGGAACTCACTTGTGGGGTAGTTAATGTGTTAGTTAAGATGTCAGTGCATAATATAGTTTAAATATAAATCTAAGCATAAATAAAAATAAAGAATAATACTGTTGCTTGATTTATATAGGTAGCTGATTCGAATTAGGGCGAAAGTCTGCGATGACTTTTGACTTGGGAGGGCTGCGGCTGTTTGGAGTGAGGTTAGGGTTTTCTTATATATCTTGTTTGTGTTTAGAGATGGAGGGAAAATTTTAGGTCTAGGTTTTCTTTAGCAATAAAGAAAACATACAAGTGGAATATGATGCACCATAATTTCTCCACTTTCAAAAAGTAATAGAGAAATCACTATTTCTAATTTCAGCGAGTGATAACTTATTGTATGACTGTGATTTATCTTTTTGAATGCAAAATATGAATCGAGTGCAATTCATGAAGATATGATTATGCTTTAATTGGATTCGAAAGTTTTCAAGAAAATTGGCCTTCAATTGATTATAGAGAATCTATTTTTTGGATCATAAACTATATATGATACCAAGTACTGGATAGGTCCCTAAGTCTATTCGTCAGTCATTAATCTTGGTTGGGATCTCAACAAAATTATATATGTCACCTAGTATCATAGTTGGTCCTATAAATATTTTCTCCAAGATAAAGTACACTTGATTTGAACCAAAATATAACTTGTTTCCAAATGTTTTTATAAACATCTGTTGAAGTCTGTTCAGGCGTCTGATAGATTGCTGAGAAAGTACCGTCAAATTAATTTCGGGTTTATCAGAATTGATTTCAGAGACGACTAAATATATTTCCCCCCTGAGGACTCTGTCAAACGTCAACAATGACATCTAGAATCTTCTCTAAAATTAGTAAAGATCTTTCCCTGCACCCGTGAACATTGACAAACTGTCGAACCGCGTAAAACCTATTGTTTGCTATGACTGCTCTTTGGTTTTGATTATCCATCTGTTCTTCTGTTTGTCAAAAATGTTGGGCAAAACACCCCAATTGTTGTTGAAAACCGTGTTGAGGAATCAAACCAAACGCCGATCAAATAGGGCCATAACCAACCAAAATCAATGCACAAACAAAACACCAATTTTAACGTTGTTCGGCGATTGCCTACGTCCACGGGGCAAGAAGGTGATGGGGTTTTCACTAATAGAGAAGAAGAGTACAACTTGAGATTACAAATCACTAGAAGGAACAAACTAATCTCACAAACAAAGCTCTTAATCTCTCCAAATAAACCCTAATCAAATAGCTCAGAAAATACCTTTTTTCTGTGCTCCAAATATCCCAAACTCTTTCCTTAGAAACCCTAGAAACGTATATTGGTATTTATACAAACACCAAAACCCAATAAGAACAGGAAACCAAACACAAGCACATACCCGCTACACGGTCGACCGCCAAAAGCTCGCGGTCGACCGCGATCAAACGACAAAGAGTCAAAAAACCATTACAGGGTATCGCGGTCGACCGCGCCAAGCCCTGAACCAAATCTCAGGTTTGTGCACGTATGCGGTCGACCGGCCTTGTGCCGCGGTCGACCGCCAAACTCCAAAACACTCTCCTGAGCTCCAAAACCTGTTCTTCTTCGAAATTCTTCGCTCGGCGAAGTTTCTACCAAAACGAAGCCGACACCAACCAAGCCAAATGCCTCACTTGTTGCATCCAGTACGTCATGGCAACGGACTCATGACAACGGATTCCATCCACACAAGTTGAGACCCAAACGGGAGTGCGAACACTCACCCAAACGTCGGTATCTACTCACCAAATCAGCTGCATCATAAAGACTGCCTACGTATCCTCTTGCCTAAGGAATCAAGCATTCACGTAGTTCACCCAAACGGTCTCCAAAGGCCCTCAAACAAATAGAAAAGTATGCAACTCTTCTCTAATATCGCCAACGGATCTGTAACTGATAGCGGTTCCAAACTGATACAAATCAAACACTTCCATCTGAGGTGAACCAATGGCCGTATCCAAATCATGTCCACCAGCTGCAACCGAATCCAAAACCAATCCATCATCTGCATCCGAATCCAAATAATCCCCAATCTGTGTCACCTCAGCTAGAATCCCAAATGATGCAGTATGATCTGGAGTATGTGGAATAAGGTCCACCCAACGTGAAGTAGCATCACCCTCCACCTGCTGCGATATCCAAACGACCTGATCAACACTCTCCACCTGTTGAGAGTCGAAAGTAACATTCCTGCTCAGAACAAAATCAGAAGCTCCCAAACGATAATCAAATGAGCCTCCGAATCCCAAACGCGCAATCGGATCAAATCTCACATCCTCGATGTGACCAAATGCTGGGTAACCAAATATCCGACGCCAACCAAAATCTGAAGCAGCTCCACCAGATCCAATAACTCCTAATGCAGCAGTCGGCGACCTATGACTAAGATGACCCAAATATGTCGAAGCTCCAGAACCAATGCTCGACAACCAACACCGATCCTCCTCCAGAAAGGAACGACCCATCGAAACTGTCATCTCATCTTGTCGCCCCAAAGTCTCCACACCAATGAAGTGTCTCTTATTGCCGTGAGCTTGGCACAAACGCAAGAAAGGACCCCTACCAAAGCTAGAACAACGAGTTACCTTTCTGCCAATATACTTCTTCCAATTGTTGTTGACTTCTAGGACTTTACACCAACGGGAACTGGTTACGACCCAATAATACCTAGAACAATCACTAACCGCGGAAACTACAAAACGATTACCTCCCAATGATGCCTCCTTGGAAGGCCTCCAAATACCTGATTGAACACCCCTCAGATGACCCCTCGAATGATGGATAGAAGTGCCAAACTCCACCACGGTCTTGCTCATCCTAATATGCTCAAAGGACTTCCATCTGCAGGTCAAAGCACTCCTCAACAAGCTATGCACGACATCACCAATCAAATACCCCAGCACCAAACTAGCCAAATCCAATGAAGTCGTCAGAGCTCTATCAATCACCGTGCTTCTAAGCAAATAGTATAAGTTACTCCTTCTGACGTCCTTCATCACAATCATGGACTCAAATGTAACCTTCAAATGTGCATCCGCCAAGGTCACCCTATAGTCTAAGCGTAGCCCGAGTTCCGATACTAATTGTTAGGCAAAACACCCCAATTGTTGTTGAAAACCGTGTCGAGGAACCAAACCAAACGCCGATCAAATAGGGCCAAAACCAACCAAAATCAATGCACAAACAAAACACCAATTTTAACGTGGTTCGACAATTGCCTACGTCCATGGGGCAAGAAGGGGATGAGGTTTTCACTAATAGAGAAGAAGAGTACAACTTGAGATTACAAATCACTCGAAGGAACAAGCTAATCTCACAAACAAAGCTCTTAATCTCTCCAAATAAACCCTAATCAAATAGCTCAGAAAATACCTCTTTTCTGTGCTCCAAATATCCCAAACTCTTTCCTTAGAAACCCTTGAAACGTATATTGGTATTTATACAAACACCAAAACCCAATAAGAACAGGAAACCAAACATGAGCCTGACCCGCTACGCTGTCGACCGCTACGGTCGACCGCGACCAATGACAGAGCCTGGAAAACTCCTACAGGGTCTGGCGGTCGACCGCGGCGGTCGACCGCGCCAAATCCAGACTCATACATGAGCCTGTGCACGTTCGCTGTCGACCGGCCTTTCGTCGCGCTGTCGACCGGCCTTTCGCCGCGGTCGACCGTGAAGCTCCAAATGTGACTCCTGCAGTCTTCAAAACATGTTCTTCACCAAATCGTTCACGGTTTCTTCAAAAAATTTATTGACACTAAATCCTAAAAGTCACAACATAAATAAATCAATAACTTCACAATAATTAATTTGAATGCTAAACTTACAGCCAATTGGATGATTCAGTTAGCCCTCAATAACTTGTGATCCTCCAAATACAAGAGGATTTATTGGATCGATACGGACGCAAATACAACACGAAATACAACGACACACAGTAACTTAAAAAAAATACAGTTAATTAGATGATTTACGGACATCTTGAGCTTTGGATGCTGCAAGTAGCTTCTGCTATCAGGGATGTATTCTTTCACAACGTCAGAATTGAGGAACTCTTGAGACCAACTCCATAATTTTGGGCATTTCTTTATCACTTATCACACAAATCCCAGCCATTTCTCGGAGACAATCAGCCCCAGTGTTTAAGAAATTTGCTGCAATAACAGGCGTTCCAATAGATTCTCCACCGAGGAATTTCCTCCCTTTGAGCTCGTCCTCAAGAATTTGCAGGTTCTTCTCCAATCCGTCTATGGGATTTCTTGCGCTTTTTTCCTTGGCTTCAACATGAATTCCACACCGCAGGGATGCACCGAAGAAATGGACAATTTTACATTGACTAATGTTAGAGTATAAAACTATAATCCTCAGCCAGCAATATTAGAACTTCGGAGTTCTGTTATAGTGGCGGGCACTAAAGAATTAGTGCTGACGTTTCGTGATGCATAAATGTTTTGGACTACCTCTGATTCTCATGAGAGATCAGTTATCATATATAGTTACTCTTTTTAAATAGGAAAAATAGCAGAGCAATATTGTCGTCTATAATCATCAAGAAGTATTTATTAACGCGTCACCTTTTCACTTATGAACTTTGCCAAAACTCGCGCCTTGCTTTCTCAAATGGATCCTTAGGTATCAGGGAATACCCAATACTCCATGTATCGTCAATGTATTCAATTATAATCAGAGACTCTACTACTGTTTTTGATCCATGAATGAGCGAACTTGCTTGTGCACTGGGTTTGACTCAAGAAGCAAACTACTTTTATTTGAAATATCCTCTTCAATAAACTCATAAGGAACTCCCTTCTATCTCAAGGCCAGCTCGAGGCCAGCTTGACTCTACGACTGAATGGGCCTCCCATATTCCCAGAACCTTCACCTCCTCAGACATTTTTGCTGCTTTTGATGTGTGCATGCAGGGTTCTACATATATATATATAGTTTGGACTTTGGAAAGATGTAATTATATTTTCATCAACACTTCGCTTTTAAAATTCTACATAATTAAAATGCTCAAATCAGATCCATAATCTGCAAAGAGGAACACATGGTGCAATTAATGTGCTTAAACTAGTTGCCATGGTGCAATTAATGTGCTTAAACTAGTTGCCATGTTTCAAGCTCAGAAAGATGCTAAGACGAATATATAAGTCACCTTAATTAGGCCACATGTGGTCTGAAGAAATGAGGTGAAAGATGAAAAACACCGAGAATTGCAAATTCTACATATGTTATGCTCAGTTTCTTTTTGCATCTGTAACCATAGGAGAAATTTTTAACAAGTCATTGCATAATGAACCAATGATCATGTAAAATATGAATATTATTTGGATTTGGAGACTACGAAGCATAACTGAGAAAGATGGGTTTATTTCGATCACTCGAATCAAATTCCTAATTATGAGTTTATAATTATAAAAAGGATCCCTTGATGCATATTATCATCTTAGGATAATAACTAGCATGATTCATGAACTTCGGATGTGGAACACAATTATAGAGGTTAGCACACGCAGGTAACATAATGTCTCTGCCTACGTCATGCATCATGTTAGATGCCGAGAAAACTTGAATTACTTGTGCATCACAAATTAAGGATCAAAAAGATGCTCTTAGGTTGGCAGTCAGTAAAGGTATTGGGGTTTTATTGACATGTTGTTGATCACATTTTAGCTTGTTTTCGATATATCCACGGGGGTTAGAAAACTTGATGAGTATCACCTGTCATTTAGCTATCTTGAGGAGAAACTGCATGGTAAATGTCATATTGGGCCATCATATAATGTCGTTGATGAGGATATGTCTTGCTTCTATCTATTATCATCTATGATATTTGTTTTTACTTCCCCCCTTTTTGTTAGAGGGGTCAGGTTTGATGAGAGTTATCATATTTATACTTGTATCCCTCCATTCTGGAGTTTGTTTCGTTAATTTCTTTTCAATTATGAAATGCTGGGGAGCTATGCTTCAGAGTTATTTCTCAAAAAAAAAAAAAAGTTTATCGTGATAGATATATCATGTATTACTATCACAAAGAATCATGTTTTCCATAATGTGGAGTGTTAATAGATACTATCTTTGGTCAATCCTTCACTCATCTGATCCTTTTGTCTTTTGATTATTTTCTTTTACTGTATTTTGTTAGCTCAGGCTCATTTTCGTCGTGGTAATACTTGCAACGAATACATTAATCTTTAGGGTTGTCTCATCTTATTAATGAATCATGGTTGTTTTTACCCACCATTTCAAAGGGGGAAAAACCCATTCGATAATGATAGCATTTCTACAAACACTACAGGAAAATTCAAAATAAACCGGCCAGAAATAGAGAACATCAGGATATTCATTCAATGATAATAGCACTTCATAGAAAATTTCCAAAAAGTTGGATAAAAGCTCTCTATCCAAAATTTCTTATTCGGCTAAGTGAAGTAGACTCTCCACAATTTATTCATCTCTTGCATGAAAATACTAATCGCTACTTGTAACCTCACACTAATCAAGCACTAGGCTTAACATAACCTTTCATGGCTTCTTTAATCGGTTCGAAGAAAGCCACGAGTTTTTCTCTCTGTGGCAAGTATTTCTTACCAACATCAGAGTTCACAAAATCTTGAGACCATTTCCATAATATTGGGTAGTTTTCCTCATTGAAGAACTCTACTCCTGATACGTCCTGGAAAACTCCAGTCCAGTGAGCAATGTAGGCTGCAGCAATGTCCAGATATCCGATAGAATTGCCTCCGAAGTATTTCTTGCCTTTAAGCTCTTTCTCTAGAATGCTCAAATATTCCTTTGATTTCTCTATGGCAGTCTTTTGCATGTCGCCTTCGGCCCAGAATGAGTTTCGAAACGTCGGAATGCACTGAATATACATAGAAGATAAAAAAAAAAGTGTAATATTAGAGTGTATATCAACGCTTAGTTAGAACAAATAGGGTTTTATTTTCCACATAAACCACAAGAATAAGAAAAACACCTCTAAAGTTGTATTAACACAAAAATCAACTTTCAAAAAAATTCCAGTAGCGATCGACCACCTTTACCTATTGACTGGCAAAACGTCGATTGAAATCCCCAAAATACCTTTAAAACTGCACATGTTAAGCGCGTGGCATGGTCTTTAGCCTTCATATGTATGCGATTGCCTCCTTATCCAGGTGTGTTTAAACATGATTTTCATATTGTCAACTCGTTTTAAAGGCGGCTTCCGTAAAAAACAAACCAAATTAGAAAATATTAGCAAACATAATAATTAGTACACGTAATAATACCTTATCATCAATGAAACTCGCCAAATAGCGTGCTCGAGCTCTCTCGTACGGATCCTTCGGCACTATAGGATGCCCATTACCCCAGGTATCATCGACGTACTCGACGATGGTCATCGACCCTATAACGGGCTTGCCATTGTGCAAAAGAACAGGGACCTCCTTGTAAATTGGACTGGACTCGAGAAGCAAGGGACTCAGCTTCTTGTTTGGCAAGTCCTCATCAAAGATTTCATAGGAAACTCCTTTAAGCCCCAAAGCAAGCTCCACCCTCCCACTGAATGGGCTTGTCCAAAATCTCAAAACCTTCACTTCTTCAGCCATTGTTGTACGGGCTTTCGCTTGCTGTCGGTTTCTGTGGTTACTTGGCACCTATCTTGTTGTTTTATATAGTGCACTTGGTAGGAGAAAGTATCAAGTGCATCGATCCGGGTCTACGGTGTTAAACGTGCATCAAGTGAATGTCAGTGCTTACATAATTAGATTTCGGGATTCGTGTACAAACCGAAGGGTAGACATCCTATAGTGCTTATTTCATGCCATCGATACTTTCTCCATTTTGTATGCTAATTTTAGATTGTTAATTACCTGCTTGAGATTCTAATTGTCAGATTAGATCCGTTTGCTGAGGAAGCGGAAGTCACTAGTGGGGTAATTAATGTGCTAACTAAGATGTCACTGCATAATTTAATGTAACTTGATCTCGGTAATTAATTGTTTTGGGATTAGGATTTGAGTCCATTAATTGTGTGTCCATGGCTACATAGTGTTTAAAATCTGGCATTGACTACTAAAAGTATTGTACATAAGTGTGCATCAACTCATGGGGCCTGCTAGGATAGTTCGGTGGGTATCTTAACGGTTCGAGATTTGAATATCATGCTGTTTTTCATACATCATTTATATAGAAGACTTCTAATACAGATATAAAACAGATACTAAATCTAGCATTCTATTTTAATGGAACTAATCATATTAAGACTAAAAATTATATTTCTATTGAGAAAAAAACTATAAAAAATAATATATTATTTATCTAAATCAGCCCCCAGTTCACCACAGTCTAGATCTAACCCAAAGAAACTATTCTAATTAATCAAAAGATATACTTCTAAATCAAGGTTTTGAGCAAATCAATCTAGGACTTGACTTTTTGTTTAATCAACAATAAAACAACAATACAAGTACTTATTTAACTGTTCTATTGCAATCAAAATACCAAACTAATTAACGTGTGATAAGTTGCAAATTTTGTAACTAACCAAATAAGATTAACATTGCGTTTACTTCAATAATGATCAACATTGCATTGATAGGAACAAGATTAATAAATCAAATGCATGTACTATTTAAAAAAAAAAATCAAAGCATGAAACACAAAGCACTTTTTAAAAGGGGTAAACATATTTATCAGAAAAGGGGTAAACAAACAAAAATGGAATATTTCAATGAATCTACACATACAAGAACTATGATTGAATGCTTAGCTAATTAATGCAAGAAGGGTTTCATCTTGAGATATATATACAATGGATATTAGAACAAGTCTAGAGATTAAACTAAAAGTTTACTGTAACAACATTTTCCTAATGAAGTTTACTCAAGACCCAAGATCCAAACTAAACCCTAGAGGAATCTCTCCAAGGACCACCTGTCTCCTCTGGTTTCTACGTTGAGGTTTTACATAGGGAAAGCTTAATTAATGCTACATTTCAATGACAGCTTCCTTTAAAAATTTGAAATTTCTATCTTCTTCAAGAACTCTAGAAAAAAATTCAATAAAATAAAAAGAATATATTGATTGATCGACGATTTTCTGATCAACTGAAGCAAACTAGTTCTCACTATGATTACAGAAAGATTGTAAAATACATTCTTTATAACTATTAAACGAGTGTTTAACAGCCTATAATGCGCTGACATCTTAATTAGCACATTAATTACCCCATGAGTGACTTCCGCTTCCGTAGCTAAAGGATCTGCTCCGACCGTTGGAATCTCGTGGGTAATTTTTTTAGAAAGTCTAAAAGTGTCGGTAACAATCAATCCAACAAATATTACAGCTTAAGCCCGTTATAGAACATACATGTGCTATATAAATGCAGACAAAAGATCGAATTGACGAAATATTAGAGCTCAATTAGTAAAATGGAGACGAAGGTAAAGCTGTTGAGATATCGCACAAGCCCTTTCAGTGCAAGAGTGGAGCTTGCTTTGGAGCTCAAGGGAGTTCCTTACGATTGCCTTGATCTTGAGGACGTTCCAGACAAAAATGCTGTGCTTCTCGAGTACAATCCTATATACAAGAAGATCCCTGTGCTTGTGCACAAGGGAAAGTACATAGCCGAATCCCTCATAATACTCGAATACATTGAAGATGCATGGGGTGGGTATCCTCTACTCCCCAAGGATCCATGTGAAACGGCTCATGCACGCTTTTTGGCCCACTTCATCGATGACAAGGTGATGGCTGCTCGATGATTTTACGTTAA